AAACTTAATGTTGATGAGTCAATTAATTTTAGATACTATCAACCTTCAAAGACCACTGAAGAATATACTAAAGAAAAACTTTAAGCAAGTTTTTTTAAATTAAAAAAAAAAAGACAAAAAGAAAAAGTATAAGATAAATACCTTTTCGTAAACCTAACTCCTACTTTGAACAACATATGAAACATTTTTTTCCACGAAAAATATTCAACATATGCGTAATTTATTGCAGGGATCTAGGTCAGGCAGGGGCAGTTACAACTGGTATAGACTCTAGATACACGTGGCCGGACAGCGACTATTTCTTTCCATCCCCGGAGCATTTGGAGTTTGGAGCCACGCCTGCATCATTTTAGTTCCGCTCTTACCCAATCGTTTTCTCTCCGCAAATAATTTGCCAACCCCAAATACTAAAAGAGCTTAGCAAATCAGAAGTCCTGTATTTTTTCCCAGGTACAAGTTTTCTGCCCAACGTTCAAGACTTCCACTTTTCCCCTCCCTTTTTTTATTCGTCTTCATTTCCCTGCATGCTAGGCCAGCATTTTGTCTCTATTTTTTTTTTTTTTTTTACTTTCCTTAAGCTTATGAGTTTAATCCAATCCACTTTTCGGTGGTCAAGACAAGTCTGTAATCCGAATTTAAGAACCTTCTCTCTCTCTCTCTCTCTTTTTTTTTTTTGCTTGTTTGAGGTTAGTAAAAATGTTGACTTTCTTGGTTTTTTTGGATTATCAGCTATTCTTTAGTATCTAGGATTTCGGTCAATTGCTGAATTTCTAATGGATATTGATGAGATTTTTGGGGAATCACGGCCGGTGAGTCTTCCGACCAAGAGTGCTGTATATGTTTGGGGCTATAATCAATCGGGTCAAACGGGTCGAAAGGGCAGAGAGAGGAACATGAGGATCCCAAGACAGCTACCGCCGGATCTCTTTGGATGCCCGGCTGGAGGGAATTCCAGGTGGTTGGATATAGCATGTGGACGAGAGCACACAGCTGCAGTAGCCTCCGATGGATCACTTTTCACCTGGGGTTCGGTCCCTTTCCATTCACTCATGCGTTATTACATTTGTTTTTGTTTTTATTATTAGTCTTCACTCTGTTCTATATTTTGAATTGTTCCACAAGGTTGAGTGCGAATGTGACGAAGAATTTGTTTCCCCCTCTTCCGCGTTTTATAGTGTTTGACTCTTAGAAAAGTTATGATTTTTAGGCAAATGCAGAGTCATTTATACCTTGAAATGGTCAGAAAAAAGGTTTATTGCTTCTGTTTTAGAGCTTCTTTTTTTTCCTCGTTTTAACAAGTGATACGTTGATTAATTCTGTTGTCAGTTGCTAGTCTTGGTGTCCTCTTGACTTGAGCGTGATTTCTATTTTAAGTCTTCTATCCTGATCCTTGATTGGGAATGGTCCTCTTTGAAGCTTCTTCCAGTAAAGACTGGATATGGGGGCACCAAGCCGCCTCCTAGCTCTCCTGGCTGGCTCTCTCTCTCTCTCAATATTGGTGCACCAAGCATTCGTAACTTTGAACTGATGGCTGTCCACGCGATGCATTTAATGTATATCATATTACTGCAATTTGGAACCTTGACTTTGCAAATCTAGGTTGAAGTACAATTACTTTTGTTGAGACTTGAGCAAGATCGTGCTACTGGTTCTGTCTTGATTTTGATCTTTTTTTTTTTTTCAACTACCCTCCTGCATCCAAGATTTCAAAGGGAGATCTTTCAAGTGTCTATATTGCATTTTGAAGATAATCCTGCCTTCTATGATTCCAAACAGGGGCCAATGATTTTGGTCAGCTGGGGGATGGAACTGAAACAGGTAGAAAACACCCTCAGAAAGTAAGGCAACTGCAATCTGAATTTGTGGTATCAGTGTCTTGTGGTGCACATTGCACTGCAACCATTGCAGAACCACGGCAAAATGATGGAACCATGTCAGTGAGAAGACTTTGGGTTTGGGGACAGAACCAGGTTATGCTCGTTACTTTTTAACCTCTTTGTCTTTTCTGGGTACTGTTTATAACTCTTTTTTTTTCCTTGCAGGGTTCTAATTATCCACGGCTATATTGGGGAGATTTTGCTCCAAATACGGTATTGACCTTACAATTGAACAGTTTTTTCTGCTCACTTTTTATGTAGCCTGAAATTTTCTATCTTGCATTTTTCGTTTTCCAGATTATTCGCCAAGTTTCTTGTGGAGCTGTTCATGTTGTTGCTTTATCGGAAGAGGGCCTGCTACAAGCATGGGGTATACTGTGTAGCATTAGTGCCATAATTTAATAGAATGTTTCATGTGTTTCTGTTAACTTGGATCTCCTGTCTACCTGATTTCTTGTCTAATAGTTATGATGAGCTCATGTATTTGCTGATTAAGTTTCCTTATCTTACATTAACTAGTGTGTACTGTTTATTATATATTGGTCATGCAAGAATAGAGATGGAAACCATGTATTCTAACTGCACGGCGATATCATTTATTAATTAGAATTTTGTAACTGCTCTGGCAAACCAGGCTATAATGAATATGGTCAGCTTGGGAGAGGTGTTACCTGTGAAGGCCTTCAGGGGGCTCGTGTAATTAAAGGGTATGCTAAGTTCCTTGACGATGCCCCTGAACTTGTGAAGATTGTCCAAGTGTCATGCGGGGAGTACCACACAGCTGCTATATCGGAGGATGGAGAGGTGTAAGTGTTTCATGGGATCTTTTTGGTGGAGAAAGTTCATTATTAAGCATCAGAATTGTGGTTATCCCCATGGCACGTGTGAGATTAAGTGGATGTCTTGGGAAGAGATTATGATCATCCAGCATAGTTGTGAGATGGGATTACAGTCAAACTTGGAGACCTTAAAGTTGACCTATGTGTCCCTTTAGCTCTGTGAGGCTTGTGCATCTGATACTTGAAACTCACCTCATTTCTTGTCTTGGTTCACCTGTTAAATTTAATAATGTGAAGCTAATATCCGTTCAGTCACTTGATATTCACTAGAATAGGTAGGAAAACAACATAATGGGTCAATGAAAATAATACTGCAGAATAAAAATTGCAAAATGAGAATATGAAAATATATGGTAAAAGGCAAAAAGGTTTAGCAGACGTGTCAACATAAAATGGTAGTCTGTCAGTTATGGTTGTTCAAAATTTTAAATACTGTGTTGCAGGGCCTTTCTCAATGACATGTTAAATTACTCTTGCTTCTTTGAAACATGTTTACATGTATTTGTGCGTTTGTTCTTTTTCCTATTCATTATGGATCTGTCTTTCTCTGATTTAGCGATTTTTTTTGCTCGAAGTAGCTTCATTTCTCTACAAAACATTGAGGTATGCCTTTGCCATCTCCTATATAATATTTGGGTTAAGATGAAATTAAATTGGTAGAAGCATGTAGGAAATTTCATGTTTTCGTTACTAATATAGGACTTAATTGCATGTGCTATTTTAAACATCTACAGGTAATATCCCTATATTGTGAAAGGTCATCCCAAAAATCATGGATGAATTAGAGTTGAATTTTTAACCCATGCAAACAATTACACCAATGATGTTGCAACTTTTCAAACCACACCACTCTGTGATAACAGAGAAGATGAGATCTCTGTTGTAGTGCAAATGGTTTCTTATGATGCTGTTACTTTTGTGTGATCGGAATCATGTGGCTATCTTACTACAGCTATACTTGGGGACTGGGAAGTATGGGCCAGCTTGGGCATTCTTCCCTTCAATCTGGTGACAAGGAATTATTACCTAGGCGTGTTGTTGCTCTTGATGGAATATTTATCAAAGATATTGCCTGCGGGGGTGTGCACACATGTGCCTTGACTGCTAATGGGGCTCTATATGCTTGGGGTGGAGGTCAAGCTGGGCAATTGGGCCTCGGGCCCCAAACTGAATTTTTTTCTTGCGTGCCCAATGAATCTGAAGTAATGCTGCGCAATTTGCCTGTTTTGGTGATTCCAACTGGTGTGCAACTCGTTGCCTGTGGATATTCGCACACTCTTGTTTCTACTAGAGATGGAAGAATTCATGGATGGGGTTACAATAGCTATGGTCAGGCAGCTAATGAGAAATCTACATATGCTTGGTTTCCGTCTCCTGTAGATTGGTATGTCCAATAGCGTCACTGGATGAGTATTGATAATTTATTGGAGGAGAAAAAAAAAACGCTAGTCTAATAAACAACACAATGTAGGTGTGTAGGTGAAGTGCGGAAGTTGGCAGCTGGTGGTGGCCATTCTGCAGTATTGACAGATGCTTGTTCCCTGAAGGAGCTGTGCGAGTTTAGGCTTGCAGACTGCGTGACTCTGTCAAATGCTTCCAAGATTGAGGATGTTGCTTCAAGAACTGGATCAGATGCCTTAGCTCGACTTTGTGAAAGATTACGGTATGTGTATATAAAGGTTCTTTGTGCATCAGTTGCGGGACATTCTTTACTTTTTTTTTTTTGAACTGGATGTATGTGACTCATATGTCTCTGCAAGGACTTATGATCCTGTACCTCTTTTGTTCTGATGTATAAACATTCTGGAGGAATTTAGTGTAGTTAGTTTGGGTGGCGATGGCATCTTAGTTATGTGTCGGTATATACTCCATAAATGTTCAACATCTTGCAGCAGTTCATCCTGCAATTGTTTTCTGCTGTGCAACTTATCATAAATCCTCCTAGTTGTGATTAAGTGTCTCCATCTGATCGTAGAAAAAGCTTAATGCCAGCCATTGGTTTGCTTATGCAGGGCACATCGGTGCGGTGCTGGTGAATGCAACTATGATAACGATGATGATGAATTTGGTGGATGAATGTACCGTGCCAAATGATGCAAAGACGTGCAACTTTTACTGGTCTTTCGAAGGGATGTGAAGAAACAATGGGAAGATGACAATTGTTGTAACAGGCGCCAATAGCAAGTAGATTCAGGAAAATACCACTTTGCCTTTTTAGCCTAACTTATTGCTCCTAGATAGATTCTGATATATAGGAGAAATGCTAGTGAGGAGGACATTGACATTTAGACGAAGGGAAAGGAAGCATTCATTCACAATAGGCTCAATCTTACATCTCATTCTTATATGTGTCCACAATAAAGCTTTTCTAAGCACACTTGATAAAATAATACTACTCAAGTTACAAGTATGAATTGGAATCGATAAATGGAGACAATAGACCCCCATTTATTTTATTATTTTTATTCTTTGAGAGCTGATGACTGTTTAGTCGACGACAGTTTGGCCCCCATCATCCTCCCCGGATTCAGAGCGAATTACATTTCCTCTCCGTATCAACTCATGCGACGAACCAGCCAAGGCGGCGGCGGCGGCGGCGGCATGAGCGTGTTCTTGCCTCTCCTTCCATCCTCCTCGCCTGTGGGTCCTCTTACCTGGAAAGGACCACTACACAGGAAGACTGCTGTCACAACAAATATATGTCCGTAGTTACATTAAGGGCTGCTAATAAAATGCTAATCCCACAGGGTCTGATCTGTTGATGTTTTGGTATTGTTGTTCAATTTCTTTTGAAATCACGGAGGAAGACACTTCTTTGGTGGCGGTTGTCTTGTTTATGGGTGAATATATCCGTCAATTTTTCAAAAGACAAAAATACAATTTATAAAATAAATATTTTTTTTTAAAAAAAAAAACATAAAATATCCTTCTTCTGACACTGATATTTTTAATACTTTGATCACTTGTCCAACTCTGCTCATTTTATTCCTTTTCTCCTTTTTTTTTTTTTTTTTGGCTGTGTATGATATTTACCTTAATATCAAAAGGATATTTTGTATTTTTCTTTTGGCATTTTTTATGCAATAGTTGTCAGACACGTGACTATCATGTGTAGCAATTTGAAAAAAACTGTCAAGTGTACTCAAAAGTTAAAAGTTGGGATACCAAATTTATTTTTATCCAAAATTTGAAAACTAAAATTTGAATTTTCTCTTTTCAAAAAATATAATAAAATAAAAAGCTAGCCTCTTAAATCCTGGAGGGCTTGCAGCCTAGCCTCCTCCATGGTTGTCAGCAATACACGTGGTGTATGTTTGCACAGAATATTGAAAGAGAGTCTCTGAGATTATAGTTATACCCAGCTGCCAAGGATGGGACGGGCACCGAGCCTGGAGCAGGCTCGGATAGTACGAGGGCCGAGGAGCGTTGAATCAAGTGCAAGCGCTCCATGACTATCTTGTCGTTTTCCTTGATCTGTGTGAGTTTGAGTAAGAGAAAATGAAACGGTAGTGAAAAAAAAAAGGAAAATCATGCACCCAAAATGCGTGATAATATATATATATATATATATATATATATATATATTTAATCTATCAAATCTACCTGCTTTGCCAACAAGCTGTTTTGCTCCTGCAATGTTTTCTCCTGTAACGAAAGGAAAACCCACATCATCAGCTATGCTTTTCACGAAGTCCTGATCGACCAGCTACTTTGAATATAGGGTGGTTAATCTTGCAGGCAACAATGCTCGTGCATGTCAACCGAAACAGATCAGCGGCGGCAAGGGCCAGTGAAGTTTACCTTCTTCCGAAGCTCAGCGATGGACTCGTGCATGACTTGATTCTGCATGCATGTGCAAGTAGCACGACTGAGTCGAATGTCTCCAAGAAGAACATGAAAAGAGTGGAAGGAAACGGTGAAAAAAGCATTCACTTTTCTTACCTTCCTGGTACGTATTCGCCTCAGAGCAGCGTCCAGCTGTTGCTCCAAAGTCTGAAGCTCCCTCAGGCTTAGGGAATCCAGATCCTCCCCAACATAATGCCTGCAGCAGAAGAGCTAGAATTTTCATTTAAGTTCCTAATATGCATGAAAAGACGAGGGTATTCTGTGTTGTATACTTTATGTTTCTCTGCAGAAGTTCAATCCTAGACACGAGCTTAGGGTGCTCCAGAGACCAATTATCCTGCACACAACCCAAAGAAACACGAGTTCAAGACCTCGCGCAAATAAAATGGAAGCAAGGAATTCAGGTTTTAGTCCCAGAACCATCCGACATATATCAACTTTAGGGGTTCTTATAATCAATTCCATTCATCCTATCTATACAAACTGGTAAATTTGGAGGAGAAAACAAAGTTTTGGGCAAGAGACTTGCAGCATACCGGAGTTTTTCAGGCGTAAGGAAAAATTATGTCCAGCACAGGATGGCTAATATTTAGAGTGCAAAAGAAACACGGCGGTCAAGAATAACAAGAAGAAGAGGCATTTTATTCGATGGTCCTAATCTCATTGACTTCCCCGGTAGATTTGCTTCACATACACATGGATCCGGCAAATTTTAGTTACATACTCTTCTTTACCCTATGTACAAGCAACCATCTTATATCCAGCCCTCAAGCAAACATTTGATACTTTCAGTACTTCAAACAAGGTACATTTGAATGAAAATTTTAAGAAAGAATGTCTTCTGCAATATTTACAGACTCCTTAACACATTCGTTGTCCCGCAGTTTACACATATAGCAGGACGGCATTGCAAGCCCAGAAAATACAGACAAAATAAGATAAATAGAGGATTGAAGGATTGGCCAGCGTACCTGTTGTCCAGGGCCAGAGCCACTGAGTCTTTTCTCAGCGTACGAGTATCTTTCATATCTTTCCAAAATCCTCTCCATACTAACAAATGATGAACAAACCCGAAGTGAATGTATGTAATTGTTTTGTTTGCTTCTCCATCTCAAAGGACAAGCAAAGATATGTGTTTCAGGTGAGACGGCGGAAAACTGACATTCATTGCCTGCCTATATATTGCCGTTAGTGTGATGCATGTCAAAGACAAAAATTTGTTGGCAAAGCAAAAGGCAGAATGTAATTTTTACTGGGAGACTATCAAATATTGGTAAAACCATAACACATTGATACAAGATTGTTGATGTTGAATTTTCAACACCAAAAGGCAAACCCAATATGATTAATCTTTGCTCGTGCTGACAATCAATATTAGGAAAGAAGTAAAAAAAATATTATTATTGTAACATAATTTGATAATGATCACGAAGGAGGGCTCGTGTTCTATGATTGATGGCACGAACAATCATGGCTGAAATCCCAGTTTTTCTGCAAGCTGTGAGCATATGAATTGATAATGCTAATAGAACACGAGTACAATAGCTTCACTAGTCTCACAAGGCACCAGTTTCTACAAATAAGTTGGCTGAAAAGGTGGCATAAATCCTCTGGTTTCTCATATGAAGCTATGTATCATTGACAATAAATGAAAACTAAAACCAGACATGGCTAGCTGGTTATCACTATCCTTACTTAGTTGTTGTGAAAAATTAGAGCCAGGCACACTATCCTCAGACTCCAAATAATACATGATTAAAAGTAAAAAGACAGTAATACATGATTAGTCAAAACTCAAAACATTTTCATTAAATAATCATAATCTCCAGATTTAGAGGTTTGACTTGAGGACCACCTCCAACTTGAAGCCATTTGCAGAAAAAATGACATAGTGAAAAAGGGAATTAAGAAAACCAAAAAAAAAAAAAAGGACTTGTTAAAAAATCAAAGACCAGAATCGAAGCAAAACACTAACAAGGAAATGAAGGTTTGATTTCATATCAGATCAAAATCTTCAATATGAGCCAAAAATTATATTTGATTGAGTGTACCTCACTAATGATGGTTAATTGGTTATACATGATCTTTGTAAGATGATACTAGTTTATGAACCAACCCAAAAAGCATTCATTTCTCGAGAATAGTTGCCAGAAACCTTTTGGTGGTATTACTGCCTAGCGTCAGTTCTGTGAGAATGCCATGCAACCTGGAACATTGGAATGATGTCCCTTACAAGTAGAGGTTAAAATTTAATACATCAAATGCCAACATAGTAGTTGAACTATACCAAAAACTACTCAAGAAATGTTCATCTGTTATGAAAGTGAGAAGAATTTATAGGCTCTAATAAATACAAGCAAAACAGTTGTATTAGCTTAAGAAACGTACAATTGTTTTCTCTAAGAATGGTCAAGATAGATGTGAACCTTTCGCAATTCCAAGTCATTGACACCTAAAGGCTACTTTTTCAGAGTCGTGGGGAAATACCAATTAGGTTATAACCAGTCCATCCCTTCTTATCCCCTGGATATACTCATGAGACAGTAATTTTGTGTGTTTTTTTTCTTTTAATAAGGGAACCGACAGCTGCTACTCGAGAGTGCGCTGAGAAAACCCCACCTCGTGCACTAATTTCGTGTTCTTTGTCAATTTCATTAAGATGTTGCCAACCTTTTCAGTTTGATATCAGTTAATTAGGACTTGCCAATCATGATCTGGTTCCTTGTGTGTTCAAAAGTACTGTACGCTAAATCTTCTAGTGTTTAAGAACCTAGGTTTTCCAAATTCCTTTTGAGGTTAAAAACTTAAGGGGTTGAAAAAAAGAAAAAAAAAACTTAACTGTTGCATTGGCACTTGAAGAAGCTCATGTCAAATGATTTTCCATTTCAAACGGACTGATAAGTGAAATATCTGTCCTCATTTATCAGCAAAGTTTAGCTAAATTCTTGCATTCTTCTTGCTCACAACTATAGCTATAAATTCTTTTGTCATTATATAGTTGGATGAAAATTTAATTAACAAATACGCTCGGCCAAAGAAAAAATAAATCAATTAAATTAAATATTTTTTTGTTTTTGAAATATCCTTTTTCATTTCTATGCAATTGACTAACAATTGAACTTTTCCTTACCTTTGTTTTTATTCATTAATTCAAACAATACTTTGTGTGTGCTATTTTCCTTTCTTAATTAATCCAAAATAGATGAATGTAAATCACTTTCCTCTACTCTCATTTCCTTTTCTTTTTTTTATCCCTGCTAGTATCTTTTCCTTTGCTTCAATCCAAACCGTACGTACTTTCCAATATATCCATAAGAATTATATCCACATAAAACAAAATTTCATTCTTCCAAGTCCTATATCTCGCATTTTAGAATTTCTAGAACTAAGTAACAAAGTTTAGGCAACAAAAGATAACTTTTTTTTTTTCAGAAAATCCAATTGATAATTTGTGAGGGAATGAGCTCTTGAAGTTCTAAAATTGCTAGAGTTGTTTGATTTCCTTTTGTTATGGTAGTTTGCTTTTTGTTAGACAAGCTAAATCTGTTCAATGAAAACTAGAATAAATTGATACTAGCTGTGGGGGAAACAAGGGACTGAAATTAACCATTCCAAGAGCTTCTGCTTTTTTAATGATAGAAAAGCCAATTATTAATAATTTTTTTAAAAGAAAAAGGAGCTATTTTCCAAATTCAAGTCTTGGCTTAAAATATAGTCTAAATTTAAACCACAAAAGCGACTATGAACACCTCAAAACCTCTTTTTGGCTGAAAGAAGAGTTTAATCTTTTTAGGCAAACAAAGGTCATTGTATTCTAGGATAAGAGATCATATGTCACATAGAGAGATCAACACTCAGAAATACAAAGCTAAAAGAAAGAAGAGTTATAAGCAGCTGATCTAAACAGTAGTTGAGAATAAGTAAGCCCCAAAGATAGAGATCCTGATAGATTAAAACGTGAAAATTTGGAAGTATTATTAGCGCGTAAAAGATAAAAATAAATGTGTTTGGATTGTAAATTATTACACCTTATTTACATACACTAATTTGCTTGTATCATCAACACATTTTTCAATCATTTTTTTATCTCACATACATCATATCAAAAAAGTAAGTGCTACAATACTTTTTTTCACAAAATTATCCCAAATAATTTACAATCCAAACACAGGGTCATGACTATGATGTCATAGGATATACAGAATGACAACATTTGTTTAGCGTCATGAGGATCATTGTGGATAAATGAGCAAATGTTCTGGAGGAGCTTCAGGAGAATGAATAATACTCACAAGTGGATCAGACAGGAGTAAAAGCATATATTAAATCATAGAAATTTTATATATGCTTTTCTTTATAAATTTAGACGCATGAGAGCAATTTTGTTGATTATATAATTTGTTTTCTAGATTACTATTCACTAAAAGCTAGCTACATACATTAAAAAAAAAAAGGGTCATCAGCCCTAATTTGGGAGCAAAACAAAGAGATTTTAACTTTCACAGGGACTAGCTTAAGAGTCTTCTAAAAATTCAGATGTCCATATGGATATTAGATACAACTTCATACTTTTCCTAGAATTTTAAACCGGGATTCATTTAGTTTCAACAAGGAAAATATTAGTTTGTGAATTTCTAGACACATAAGTCAAAATAAAGCAAATTTAATCTTGGGGCATTATTATCTCTACCCTCCCCTTCTTAACCCCACGGTTGGTGTCATTTGTTTTTGGTAATCAGGAGTGTTGAAATGTGTAAAGTACTCGTAAAAAAAAAAAAAAATTTAAAGCGAACGTGCAAGTGAATTCAGTTACTCTCCATTGTTTCATAACCAAGAACCTCTTTTTTTCTTTTCTTGGTGGGCAGTCTTGCTATCCTGTTATCTTCGGTTCAGTTAGACTTGTTTACTCGAGTCTTACACACCCTATATATCCTTCAGGTTCTCTACATCTTGGATGTCAAAAATAGACGAAGCTGAAATAGGCTTCTTCCCTACTGATTATACAATTATGTTGCAAAATTCTTGATGATCTAGTAACCAGCAAACAAGCCTAGTTGATGTATACACGTACACATGGATGCCTAGCTCCTGAAAACATTTCAATTGATGCCGCTGAAACATAGAAAGACAGGGAAGTGACTTTTGATCTGTTGGAGAGTAAGATAGAAGAGTACTTCATAATGATACTATTGGGCAGTTGGATCATGGATGTGTCTACACGTTTTGCTCTTTGGAGGCTATATATATATATATGATCCGACGTTGGATATGATGACGATTTTGTTGGTTCGACAGTGGCAAGGGAAACAGCTTACAAGGTTCCCCAACAGCTAAGCTAGCCTTGAGAAAAAGACCTAAAAACCGAGGATACTTTACAAATGATACTACGAAGGTTAAAAAAAAAAAAGAAAGAAGAAGAAGAAAGAAAACACAAAAGTGAGTGAAGACACGAGGCTCAACTCTCAAGGCTCCTTTCCTTTGGATCAAGACCTGTTGGATCTTTCACTTCCGACAGTGCTCATATTTCCTCACAAGGTTTCACTCATACTTGAATCTGATTTAAGGTGTTTGCTAGGAGTATGCATGGAAGGAAATGCATTTATTACACTCCATAAAAAATATATGCAAAAAAGATATATATATATATATATATATATATATATATATACATATTTTTTTGCTACCTATAAACTTGGATGATTTCTGCAGACGGACGGACTAAAACCTTAGCTTAATCAAAGAATTTTATGTCAGTAGAAGAAGTGCTCATAAATTTTTATGAGCAGCAGCAGCAGTGACCCCCCGTGATATGACCGATCATTGTCTTATTATGTTCCTGAAATTGGTTGTTTTCGATGAAAATTAAACTGGGCCATACGCCTTACGCCAGACAGATACTAGTTAATAGAGGAAGAGAACTGGATACCAGCACAAGACACGTATTTTTGTGATCAGATGAGGTCAAGGTTCTTGGAGCCAGACCAGTCAGCCAGCAGGCTGCAGTTTGGTTCGGAAAAGAAAAAGCGAAAAAAGAATAAAAGAAAAAGGAAAAAGGAAATGGTCACCAGGCACATCGAGGAAAGCTGGTGCATGGAGGTTGAGAGGTAACACAAGTAGTTGGGTGTATATGATTTGCGGAAGATCATGGAAGCTAGGAAATAGTAATTGCCACAAAACACGCAACCGTGAAGAGTGAATAGTGCAATGGAGAAAACCCAGAAATGGAAATTTTCAAAAATGTAATGCAATAGTGAAGAGTTGATTAGTGCAATGGAAAAAGCCCCGGAAAAGGGAATTTCCAGAACTGCGGAAGCAGCAAATTAGCCACACACAGGCACCCGGCCGGATGATGCAAACTGCAGTACGCGAGAATGTAAAAATGCTCCAATCAAAGCAGAGGAGAGGAAGAGAGAAGAAAGAAAATCAGGGAAACAAAGAAAAAAAGGGGAACAAGGAGCACCTTGATTCAGTGGAGTACTCGAAGAGCTTTCCTTTGGTTGAAAAGACTATCAAAGCAACTTCAGCATCACACAAGACAGAGATCTCATTTGCCTTCTTCAGCAACCCCGACCTCCTCTTGGAGAAGGTCACTTGCCTGCTTATCTTGTTCTCGATCCGCTTCAGCTGAACCCTACCTCTACCCATTATTCTTTCTTCTTCTTCAAAATCTTGATTCTGAATCTTTTAAAAATTAAAAAAAAATTAAAAAAAAAAAAAAAGAAGCTCGAGATTATATAATAGGCAAGTATAACAGTATAAAGAGCTCAAGGAACCCTAAATTTGGTAGCACTCGTGCTGCAGCTCCATTTTTCTTGAAGTACTCCTGCGAAGCAGTAACAGGAGTGATATCAAATAAAGTAGCAATGGAAGGAGGAGAGAGACCAGGTAATCTCAGGTTGCTGCTGCAGCTGCTGCTAGTGGGTAATATTTCATGTATATATATAGTGTACCAGGATTATATTGATGGTGGGATTGGTTTCTATTTTTGAGTTTGTTTTGCACACTATATAACTATATAAAGCACAGGCTCTTTCCCCATTGTGTTTGCACTTTGCCGCAGCATCAAAGAATAAATGTGCCTGTGTGTGTTTGTCCCACCTCTAAAAAATACTACTTGCTGCAAAAGATGAAACGGGGCTACAGCTATATATGGAGGAGAGAGATTAAGCAGAAGACTAAAGAAACCATTTCTGGTAATGTTAAACAATGGTGGTATTGGGGGGGCATCCGTTGTCGAGCTGCTATTGGGCTAAGTGCTCAAGGCCACAGCTTTCAATAATACTTCGTACAACCCATGAAAGCAAAGAGCAGAACTGGGTCCCCGCCCCTCAGTACTCCTATTTACACTTGTTTCCTTCTGAAACGTTGACGGCGGCCCTATGACTGCTACTCACTGCCCAGTGCTCACTGTACTACTACCGCTACGGATTTGGTCCTGTTCGGTATGCCTTCCGTCATACGAATAGAAAGTAGTATCATGATTTTGAATTTTTTTAAAACAATTTGGAAAATAAAAACACTAATCAATCTGCTATTCTTAAAAAATTAGACTCCGACGATGGAAAAATGCGAGAAAGAAAGAGTGCTGCAACTATCATCTCCTTCCCTTTACGTGCACATGCTTGTGCCATTCCTTCTTCGTCGAAGACACCTTTTCCTTTTGTTTTCTGAAAAAGGATTTAGGTAACCTTGTGGTCATCGACATAGCACAAGATACGCCCAAGCGATTATAGACTGCTCAAAAGATTTTTTTTTTAAATCGTCCACCGACATAAATAATCTTCACATCGATGCCGCAAAAGCGCTTAGATCTTTATGGGGTGAGAAGTCAAAAGATTTCAATCATCGTTTTCAATCCATTAATTGTCATTCTATGTAGTTTTTTCAAAATCAACGGACATTAAAAGTCACTAATATGGTCCAAAATTAGTTTGGTCCCCTTTGATTTCCATTGATCCGGTTGCGCTTGTTCCCTTTCCCGTGGTATAGGAATAGAAATAGGTGTAAATATAGATCGTTGACGTTTGATTAAAAAAAAAAAAAATCCTCACGTCGATATTGAGATTCAAATGCGCATCCTTTTATAACAAAATGACCGGACACACACATGATCTATGATCACACACTAATTATGCCTCACTTTCTCCTTTTTTTCCCCCATTAGAGTACACAAGTCATAGCATTGAGTAGGGTCTAAGAACAGATGCCTGAGCCTGACAATGGGTCCGTTGATAGATCAAGAAAACGCTCATTTGCTTTGGTTTTACAAGGAAGTTATGATTTCCATACTCGCTTCCATTCCTTTTCTTCTCTTTTTTTCCCTCTTTTCCCAGGATTCATGTCCCTCGAAGGGGAAAAACACACGCACACGCACACGCACACACAGAGAGGCCCAAAAGGCAAGGAATTTTTTTTTTTTTTTTTTTTTTTTAAGGAAAAGGGAAGGAAAACTCACTACATCCACTGGGTAACTTTGCATGCCATGATTGTGCATGTTGTGTTACTCACTGAAGTTAATTAGAGCCCTTAAAAAGTCTTCAATTACCTGCATACTAATCAAGTGGAAATACTTCGTTTTCAGTCTAATAAAGCCCGCAGTTAAGCTTTATTAAGTATGACGGCCGCTCCCCACATTTTCTTTCGCAGTAGTACTGCTCTTCCATACTATTTTCACATGTCCAATAGGACGTGTTAGAAGGAGGCGCATCGCGTTGTCATCACCACTCTTTATGGAGATATTTTTTGCCCACCTGTAAAAACTAAGGAGCATGGAGATTTTTTGCCCCCTATTGCTAATCCGGCTAGTCTATGGCACGTTTCTGGATGTGTAGAATTAACTAGTCTGTTTTTTTTTTTTTTTTTCTTTTTTAGGTTACTGCGTTAGAACTATCTTCGGGTGCTTCTGTCAGCTCTCCGTCTGTGTTTCATGTTTATTTTATCCTGGAAAGAAAGAAAAATAAAGTGAAAGGAGACAAGCCCCCCCCCCCCCCTGGATACACCACTTGTGGCTACACTTTATTCGTTTTTAGTGTATGATCTGCTGCTTGTGTTCCTGTAGGGTGGATATATGCAGCAGTATCACAACCAGAGCCTCAGATTTTCCACCATTCTGGTCTTTATTTGGGGAAAGAAAAAATCCAACGGAATATCGATCTCCCATGCAGTTACTACTCTAAGCCCTTCAACACACGCAAACACCGAGTACATGATGTTATATATATATAGTTGCCTTAACTCCATAATAAAGTCTTGACAATTCCATGTAATTATATTGGATGTTAATTAAAAGTAAGGTGTAATTAATTTGATGCTGAAAACCCCATATATAAGCAACTCCTGAAAAGGGTAATTTATTCCTTTATGCTCTTTTTTCCTCACATTATTATTTAAGCACGAGGGAGTTGAGAGGCTAAGTAAGTTTTGTACATGTGGATAGACATGAGAAAGCACAAAATGTACGTTAAAAAAGTCAGGCATGTTCACAACGTTCTTTTGTTAACGTTGTTTTTTGTTACACAAAATTAGCCACGTTTTACTATAAATTACCTCTTATCCTCTCCAACGTACACTTTCTGAGTTCTATAAATAACAGCTACTTACGCTTTAGAAATTACATCGAAAGCTGACAGTAGAAACCTTCCTAGCAGCTTTCCTCTTCTTTTTCTTCTTCCGCTCTCTGCTATCTGCTGGATTTATGCAACTTTTGCTAGTTCTGATCATTTTTGTGTTTATAATAAGAAGAAGACTTATTTAATCCTGGAAAAATATTTCAACCTCCTGAAATAGTTTCTTAAAACAGTGCTATTAAGCACGACTCAAGTTACATTTAATTAGTTTTAGTTAACGTTTTGTTTTTAACTCACAATTGCAAGCTACAAGTTAAGCAAGCAGTCCAAAAACATATTTATAGGTGCTGATCCTAAGGACTGAGTTGATAATTATCAACAATCACTTGATTGACGGAGCTGCATTTGATTGACTGAGTTGCTGGGAATGGGATGGTGGTGTCACCGGGCGGTCAAAATGCCATGAAATCCTTTTTCCTTTATCGGCTTTTGAAGCAATCGTGTCACTCTTTGGTGCAACTGCTGGGCAACGTTACTCGTCTTTGTAACACCGAAACACACTATCTTCCTTTTTGAGTAGGCTTAATTCTCCTCCTCTTCTTTGTTATTAGTATTTTATATATATATATAGTTAGTAAGATAGTACGGGGAATAAGCTGCGGATAAGTCTCGCCCATACTGCTACTTACACAAGTTAAAAGTGGTAAAAGATTTCATCAAAACCCATTCCCACAAATTAAAGTGCCCAAACAACTGATTTTTCCTAGTTAGTAAGATAGGATATGCTACACGTTTACATTTTGAGGGATGATTGTAATTACACTTCAAATTTGGACCACGTCTTAATTAAGTTTGCCAGCCAGTGTGAGACTAAGATTTTTTTTTTTTTTTGGCAAAATTTGTACAAATGTGGGTCTATGCTCATAGTTACTCCTATCTGTTGAATTGTGATTATGAAAATCACAAAGTGAGTTGTTGATAAATTGACATCCAATTGTACGACGAGAGCAGTCTATCCAGAAGTATGAATTATTTTGGCAAGTGAAAAGAGAAATTTATCTAGGTGCGAGAAATATTATAGCAACAAAAACTTGAAGATGAAGAGTTCAAATTAATATTAATAGAATTTGCAAAGGAAATTAACTATTTGTGATTGTGTTGTATTGGATTTAAAGGAGCTTGATTTAAGGGAGACAATATTGGCATATTAAATCAGGGCTCCAAAATTAGAAACTTCTATATTATTATTTAGCAGTCTTTTAGTGACAGTTAAGATTTTAATAATTCAAGTTATGCAGTTTCATTCATTTCAAAAAAAAAAAAGAAGAAAAAGTTATGTAGTTTCATTAGTTGTTTTTTAGCTTGCATACTTGTCACGTTTGTACACAAAAATGCAGAAATAATAATACTTTCCTGAATCTATGCCACTAATTATGCATCAAGATCACATTCTCGCCCGGCCGATGGACGGTATCAAGTCTTGCAATACTATGATTCTGATGATTGCGAAGCATGTGTTTCAGTGGTCCATCTCCTTTTGGTTTTGAGTAGAGTGAGATCACGCGCCTGTAATACTTTTTGTTTCTTTGGTCAAGGGGATTTTTAATTTTATAATAATACGTTATCTTTATAGTACAAATCGAGCTGTAAACCCTATGGCATCGTTAATAATATGGTCCCTTCAGTACCGGAAACGAGTTAATTTCTTTTGTTCGGATACTCCACGCAGCACAAAAACAAAAAATAAAAAATAAAAATTTTTGAAACAAGGGGACCATGAGTGGGGGGGGGGGGGGGTGGTGGAGAGGATGGAGTAAAATACACGTACAGTACACACAAACTATTGGTCTTGTATCCTTAAATATTTGTAAATACCAAGCTTTAAGTTGGGGACCATTTTGCAGAAACCAAAAAAGGTGAGATTAAGTAGAGAAAAAAATATTGGAGAAAATTTAAAGAGCCAAGAGAGGGGTAACGAGACGGTCAAGACCCTAATCGTCTGTATACTTCGATTACGGTGTACAAAAACGATTCAACATTTTAGAAGAGACACGTTACGTGAATCACGTAAAGTAGTCAAATCTCAAAATTTACCCTTTTTTGCCTCCCGATAAGAGAACGTTTATACTATACTAATGTAACATATATAATGACTAGACAACCTTAAACTTTTACCTTTTATGCTTGTGAAAATATGTTAAAGCATCATCGAACTTCTTTTCTTTTCTTTTTTTCTCTCGTTTAGAACAAGCAGCAATGTTAATGCAATTGTCTTATAATAAATAAATAGCACGAGGGAGTGGAAACTTAATATCAACGATTAGCTTGATCATCTTTTCCCATCCAAATACTGCAATTAATAAGCTGTACGGGTTTTGACAAAAATTAATATTGCAAATACACGAAACACCAGCAGCAGCAGCTAGCAAAATGTATCTGAAAAGCTAAAGTAATTATCTTTTTTTAGGGTAATAAATAAATAGGTTTCCGTATCCTGTCATCACTATTCAACTCTAGATAAAGAAGAAAGAAAAGAATGCAGCATATATGTTTGT